ACCTGCAGCTGCCCGGCCAATGGGGGCCCTGTATTCTAATGAGCCTCAGCTTTATCAGAGAAATAAATGTTGGCTCTTCCCAAGCCCAAGTTGAGTGTCCGGTGCTGGTGCCACCTCGGCAGGGTCAGCCAGGGACGCTTGCCCTGGCCTTGCCCGTGGCCCCCTACCTGCCCAGGACGTGGCCCCCTGGCCAGCCTGCCAGGGTCCTAGGGCCACCCAGGTGCCTGCTGGCCAGGGTGGACGCCAGGGCCCAGTAGCCCCCAGGCTGGTGGGGATGGGCTGGCCGTTGCACCCCTGGGAAGCCGGGCTCTGAGGGCCACCTCGGTGCCGGAGCCATGGATGCCAACCTGCCAGGCACCTTCCTGCTCAACGGCCCCTCGCTGGGCCCCTTCCCCGAGGCCAAGGCGCCCGTCTGCCAGTACTCAGTGCAGAGCTCCTTCTACAAGCTGGGCCCCCCCGGGCTTGGTGCCCAGCTGGCTGCCGGCACACCCCACGGCATCTCTGACATCCTCAGCCGGCCTGCGGCGACACCGAACAGCAGCCTCCTCCCTGGCTACCCCCACGCAGGCGGATTTAACGGACTGAGCTCCCCAGGCGTCTATTACGGGCCCCAGGTGGGGGCCCTCCCCAAGGCCCGCGCCGAGTACCTGCCACGGGGCCGGAGCTGCTGGGCAGAGAAGTGCGGCGGCCGGAAATACAGCGGGGCTGTGGGGGGTGGGCGGTGGGTGGTGCCCCAGGCCCCAGACTGGCGGAGCCTGCGGTCGTTCGGGGCCCGCAGGAGGCACTGGCGGCCGTAAGTACAGCGGGGCTGGGGTGGGTGGGCGGTGGGTGGGTGCCACAGGCGGCGGGCACCCCGCAGAGCCCTGACCCATGGGCACCAGGGCAGGGACGTGGGGCAGCTGCCCAAGCCACTTCTTCTGCATTGCCCTGCATGAGGCATGGCTGGTCATCCTGCAGGCTGCCCCTGGACAGCGGGAATGGCCCCGGCACCAGAGCTGCCGGACCTCAACCTGCTGCAGAGGTTTTGGCTCAAGAGCAGGGGCAGCTCCAATGGCAGAGGTTAACCCTTTGCTTAGCCCTCAGGCAAGCCACAGCTGGCAAGGACAGGCAGAGCCCGCTGCCCCGGAGATCCCCCGTCCCTCCGGCAGCCTCACTGGCGTCAGTGCCCAGCCCAGCTCATGGCAGAGACAGGCAGAATGGCTGGCCCTGAGCTGGCAGTGCTGCCTGCCTTGTGGAGAGCTGGCAGGGGGATTGCAGAGCATGTTGCTGCCGTACCAGAGGGTGGGTGGGATATGGGTGCGCCCACTGTCCCGTGGGGAGGCTCTGAGCCAGGGGCTGGGTGCAGCTGCTCAGCACCTGCAGCCGAGGTCCCCTTCCATCCTCTCCAGGTGATGCTCTTGGAGCAGACAGGTCAGGCAGCTTGGCCATCCGCTCCTGGCACAGCTACGAGCAGACCAGCTCTGTCTGCCTTCCCGTCATGCATCCTGCAAGGTGTGGGGCATGGGGGCATGGTGTTCCCAGTGCTGTGTGGCTCTGGGGTCATGCACTGCTGCTAATGACCCTTCCCCTCTTAGCACAACAAAATAACGCTGTCCCCAAGCAGGAGGTGCACAGCCCAGCTCTGGCTCTGTGGGACCTGCGCAGAGGGCAGCTCAGCCTTCCTGGGATGGGACTGAAGCCTTGAAGCCAGAATACGGTTTTAATTTTGAGGGGAGCCAGTGTGGAGGGACTCTGTGGGCACTGGGGGATGGTGGGTGTGCTGGTGCCGTGTTCAGGGAGGGGAGAGCTGCCCAGGGCCGTGCACTGCAGAGAGCCCAGGTGCTCACCACCCTCCCTCCTCCTCCTCTCCCGCAGCCCCTGCTCACCTGGCCGACAGCATCCACAAGAAGAAGCACACGCGCCCCACCTTCACAGGGCACCAGATCTTCGCTCTGGAGAAGACTTTTGAGCAGACCAAGTACCTGGCGGGTCCAGAGAGAGCACGGCTGGCCTATTCTCTTGGCATGACTGAGTCTCAGGTGAAGGTGAGTGTGGGTCCCCACATGGCATGGGGCGTGTAGCATGATGGCTGCTAACTGAGCCGGTCCCGTGGGGCTGCAGGTCTGGTTCCAGAACCGACGGACCAAATGGAGGAAGAAGAGCGCCCTGGAGCCCTCCTCGTCCTCGCAGCGTGTAGGGGGCTCTGGCGGAGAGCGGGCAGCCTCTGAGACTGAGGACGACGAGTACAACAAGCCCCTGGACCCTGACTCGGATGATGAGAAGATCCGGCTGCTGCTGAGGAAGCACCGCGCAGCCTTCTCGGTGCTGGGCTTGGGCACACACAGTGGCTGAGCGCCGGCACAGCCTGCCCCTCTGGGCCATGGGGTGCCCGGCCTGGCCACCTGCTTCCTGCCAGGGGGGTGACCCCCCAGCAGATGCCTGGCTGTGGGGATGGAGTGGTTGCCGCCCTGCCCCCGGTGGCTCCTGCCCAGGGATCATGGCTTGCAGGGCTGGGAGCAGCACGTGTGGGCAGTGTCAGGCGTGGCCGTGCTGTTGGCATTGATGAAATAAAGGTCCCAGCCCCAGCCAAGTCCCAGCGCTTGCTTCGTGGGCGTGCGGTCCAGGGTGCCCTCATGAGGCTGGGCCGGAGAAGGGGCTGGGATAGCACGTATGGGGCAGGGTCTGCGTGACAGGCAGGGGAAGGGGCCGTGGCTGTGGTGCTGTGTGTGGGGCAGGAAGAGCCCACAGGAGCGGGGCCAGCCCTGGGGATGTTTCCCAGGGTTTTTCCTGGTTTGGGTGTGTACTGGCAGCAAGAGGTGCTGGTTCAAAAGTCACTTGTTGGGGCCTCTTGTTGGAACCTATTAGCAGCAAATAAATATCATTTATCTTAACGGTGTGAGTGAGAGCCCATTCACCTGTCAGGGCTGTAGGATTGATGTGGTGTCAATAGCCCTGGTGTGTTTGCTGTCAACCTGGTCGCCCCCCCCCCCCCGGCTGCCCCCCCGCCCCG